TATATGTATAGGTCTACCCTCATATATAGGTATATGTATAGGTATATTATATATATATATATATATGTATATGTATGTATGTATGTATGTATATATATTTATTTATGTATATATATATATAGACAAATAGTTATATCAGTATATTTATATACACACGTATATATATATACCATATCATACATACATACATATATATATATATATATATATATATTATATATATACAAAAGGGTTGCGGTCGCACCGAAATGCTTAAACAAACTGTTTTTGGGTTTTTTAATTTTGCAGATATTGTTCAGACCGCCCACGACAATATTATAGATACAGTATAAATGTATATCAGGCGGTTGTTTTGACTGTTGCAACTGATCTGAAGGTGCGCCTTTCAGACAATTGTGCGCACTTGTTGTCAGATGGTTGCAAACGGATTGGTACCTATATTGGCTGAATAGATCTTTACTGTAACTTATTGTATTTGACTGTGTATCTATCATCTCATCCATTTGTATTTTTATTTCTTGTATTCAACTGTGTATTTATTGTCTCATTCCAGGGGAAGAAGGTGGTATTTGTAACAAACAACAGTACCAAGTCCAGGGATATGTATGGAGACAAAATGGCCGGCATGGGGTTCAAAGGCATCACACCGGTGAGTTCTATCAGATCACTTTCTCAATGCCAAAACACTTGTCTTCTATATATATTGAAGTTTCGCTTCTACGGATATGTGTCTGAAATGTCTATCCAGATTAGGCTATAGACCTGATATACATGAACGCCTGATGCTCACGCCGTTACTTCTGTGTGCGCTCTTTGGGGCTCACAAAAGCTCTATTTGGTTTCTTATGCAATGCAGCTTAATGTTAGTAAATATTTTTTATTAGTGCACGTACATGTTCTTCGGATGCATTGTATCATCAGTATTCCTTCTTGTTCATTGCAGCTTAATGCTAGCAGATGTATAATATTAGCGCATGTACATGTTCTTCGGATACATTGTATTATCAGTATCTCTTCTTATTCCTTGCAGCTTAATGCTACTAAATGTATAATACAAGTACATATACATGTTCACTAATTGCATTGTATCATCAGTATCCCTTCTTATTCCTTGCCGCTTAATGCTAGTACATGTATAATACAAGTACATATACATGTTGACTAATTGCATTGTATTGTCAGTATCCGCCATAGCACTTTTTGTCGTCTTGGACCACTCAACCGTCACAGGTCAATAGAAAACACACGGTTTACTGGTTTCTCGTGCATATGTTCTCTCTGATTTCATTAGCGGTTGTCATGCCAACCGGGTTGTCCAGTTGATTATGATATAGTTGCAATAATACATAGTATGCAGCCCAATATTGTGTTCATATACAGTTTTGCAAGTTATGTCTGCTGTAGATCGGGTTATTTAACAGACCCTTTAAAAGGCTCTCTGTTGGGTTGATACTTTGTGCGCATGAGCCTGTACTGGCTGTCACTGGCAGTACAAGTCACGTGTGATCCCTATTCGCAGGACGCACTAAGTTTACTTTACTTTACTTTTTCAAACTCAATCTGTACCGAAGCAAACAGATACGTGAATCCCAGTGCCCTTTGTGGCTTGTTCGCGTGCAATTGACATGTGCATAAACTATAGCCGTAGGTACACCTCCATTGATTGTTGTCCTCTTGTCATCCCATTTCGCGCCGAGAGTCCCGCCTACGCACACACACCACGGCGTGTGGTGATATAATAAAAATGCCATAGATATTCAACGCGGGTATTTCTACCGTATGTGCGCGATTGCATATTGCAGGATATGGTCATCGGCTCTGCCTTTGCCGCGGCCTACTACATCAAGCACGAAATGAAGCTCACAGGGAAGGTCTACGTGATTGGCGAGAAGGGTATTGCTGTGTCCATGGCGGAGGAAGGGATCACTATAGCTGGAATGGAGGTACGCATGAGGACGTCTATATGCTCAAGTGTCTGTGGGTATTCAAGGACATGTGTGTGTGTAGTAATCACAGGTGTAGTCAAGCTGCAAGGTCTAGAAGGTGACAAATGCGTAGGTTGTGGAGGTACTGCCAAGTGAGGTCTATTCCACAAGCACTTAGCGTAACCCGTAAGCTTCGAGCAAAACAACACGTTATTAGAATAGTTTGTATAGCTCTGGTAAGCTGATATGTCGAAGTGGTGGCACAGTTATATATATATATATATATATATATATATATAATATATATATATATATACTTTTTTGTCAGTCTACTCGGTCGCATGTTGTATATACTTCGTGGACTGAGTGATTAACGTTGATTTATTCTGTTGCGCATGCGCTTTAATATCGCATCTATGCTTCATATGTCGAGGCGCACTCTAGGCATTCGCTGTCATCACGATATGTAGGTGAAAGTCGTGTATGATTTTATGATGCTGATGCTGAGGTGTGCATACATACAATATCCGCTGCACATGCATGCACCAACATTCATACATCGCATACGACACGAAGTTATACACCGAGAGTTGTGTATTCAACCACACACACGTATACGTATCTACATATATATATATGTACACATTTATCATTCCCTCTGCAGGAAGACAACCACGTGTGGGATCCCGTTGCCATGGAGAATTGGGAGCCTGATCCGGAAGTGGCGGCTGTGCTGTTCGGTCTGGATACTGAAATGAACTACACTAAGGTATTTCGTTCTTACCTCCGCCAGCCATGTTATGTTTCTGCGTTTAATTAAGAGGACAGATGTTAGTTCGAGTTGTGTAAGTATTTAGATATTTGTCGCTCGACAATTCGGGTCACTTTGTCAGGGTATATTATCATAAGTAGTGGTCTATGGCAAGTGTATGTCTGTTATCACCATAAGTAGTACTTATCTCATATTACATATGTCCGCGTATACCAGCCACAGTGACTGATTTAGTGAGAATTTAACTGCTGCAAGATACCTTTCAACCGAACACGTGGTATGGTTGAGCCTGCAATGACGCATATGCGCGGTCGAATGCAGTGATGTGTTACGTTGTGATAAGCATGCATATCTACATCACCCAAGTCTGCGACTAGATTACAGGGCCACCCCTGCAAGTGTCCTCCATATAATCATCCTATCCCAGTACGTTGTTGGGAACTCCGAAACAGAAGACAAAAAATATCTTCAAGGCCTTTTGGCAGAACTTTTAAACATATCGAGGCGTTGTTTACTACGAACGTGAAGTGTGTTGTGGTACGGCGTCGAACTCGTGGTCGGTATTTAGGTTGTAGGTACAAGTGTGCACCCCGACAAGACTCTTGAGAGAGTCATAGTCATGTATTTGTCTCGAGCTATAAAGCCAGCTCAGGTTGTTCATCCATCACATCTCCGCTGCGCGCGTGCCGGCAACATGCTTCGGGGCTCTTGGCGGCTGTTTTGTCGGCTGTTTGTGTTTGTGGGTTTAGTTGGGTCGTGTGTTTTGAGTGTCTAGTTGGTTCATGTGTCGTGTCCTTTTTCTATTCAGAGATGCAATGATCGAGGCCCACAGGACACCCTATGCGATATCGGAGTGTTCGATTGCCAGTCAAATGAACGGAAATTTTAAATTTACGCCTCTCCTGCTGATATTTGCTTAATGCCCAGGTGACGAAAGCAACTAGATACTTGAGCAACCCAGATGTGAAATTCATTGCAACAAACGCCGATATGACCTTCCCCTTCCGAACCTTCAAGGCCCCTGGTGCGTTTGTGTTGCAGCGTATTGCCTCCAATCAAGTCCCGATATTGTGATCTATCTGTGTATCCATGGAAGTATGCGTGCGATATTAGAAGCAGAAAATGGATAGGGCGCGTGTGCACCTCTATATTACGTACGATTACGTAGCGCAGATATTATCACAAGGAAAGATAATACGATCACTAGCCACGACTTGTACAATTCGTGATGCTGTATGAACAAACGCTTGGCCAAAACGTTACATACAAGTATAGTATGCACCACTAGACGTTGCAAGACAAATACGCACCGTACCCAACACTAGACGTTTTGGTAAGGACACCTGTGTACCTGAGGTATTTTTCCCCGAATATCCCTTCGGCACTCGAACGAGCGATTCATTGGGCCTCATTCTCAATATACTGAACCGACACTATCGTATATGTATGCCATACCACCTACTCCTTACTCCGTCCGTATAGGCACTGGTGCGATGTTGGCTCTGCTCAAAGCAGCAACCGGCCGTGATCCGCTTGTCACTGGAAAGCCCAACAAGCCCATGCGCGATGTCGTGCTGCACAAGTATGTCTACACTATCGTATGCGATGATGGAGTTTCGCAAGTATGTCTACACTAGCGTATGCGATGATGGAGTATTCATGTGACCATCTGTCAGCAACTTATTCGAAGACTTCGTGGACCTCGAGCCACTTTGAGTGCGAGTCTGCGTTCTGTTTGATTGCGACCTATCTGATGTACACATATACAGTGTTTACGTCCCGCAGAATAATCGAGCGATATAAATCAGCAGCCACAGTTCACGTGCCTGTGACTGCGAGTCCTCACTCGGCAACATCCATCCAACTCAACGGTGGTATTCAACTGTCAGATATTCTACGTAGAATACATGAACTTATCTCTTCTCCAAAACGCACACATCATAGGTTCGACCTTGACCCATCCCGAACGCTGATGATCGGCGATCGTTTAGATACCGATATTGAATTTGGCCTGCAAGGAGGCATGAAGACGCTGATGGTTCTATCAGGTGTGTATAGCTATTTGTACTTGTCTTTCTACGCGCGCCCCATATGGGGTTGGTTATGCCTGATTTCATCCTTGTGTGTTAATAATCAGACTCGAACGCTGCGAGTTGTAGTATGGTTAAAAAAATGTACAAATATGGTAATTCTGAATTTTAACTTGAATTGTTCCAACATAATATAGGCATCTCAACGGAAGCCGAGATTCAGAAACCTGGCGCTCCGACAGTACCGCACTTCTATGCAGATTCCATCGCGGCCCTCAAAGACTAGCTACTGAGTATAGAATCAGGTATCGCAATAAAGTAAAAATTTAGTGACTTCTTTGATATTGATGGTACCCGCACTATGATTGAACAATACTCGTTAAAGGAGCGGATGTACAGGGATCTTCCATTCGACTAGAATGTTTAAGCGGCTATGTACATTACCTTCTGGACTTTTGAAAAGGCTATGATACGTAGTCGTGGACACGGGCGCCCCATAAGCACGCAAATTTGCACTAGTTCGATCATCAGTAAAAATATTGAACTCAATACGTGTGGACGAAATGTTGACAGAAGTGACTATCTCATTAGGCTGAATAATTATGAAATACAATACTCAGACGAAAGAATTAAACGGTTATGACTTTACTTCATTGCCTTTGATAGCTGGCAGGTGTTCATATATATTTCCCAAGCATGAAGGCCGCAGCACCAACTGCGACGGTTGCGAAAGCAAAGTAGTGCATTTGGTTTAGACTGCTCACCACAATCGCAGGAATGTGGCGATGTGCGAGCTTCATCACAGCCATGTCGATGTTTGTTTGGGGTGAGAAGCGCGCCTTCAAGTCGTTCAGATTCGAGTTGATCATAATAGACTTCATGTGACTGAACTCTACAAAGCCTTGGTAGCCATGGTACTTACCGCTGCCTGAATTCCCTACCCCTCCAAAAGGAAGATTCTCGTTCAGCATGAATGTAATGGTATCATTGAACTGGAGACTGCCTGCAGATACGTTCATAAACATGTCTTGTACGTGTCTATCATGTGTGAATGCATACATAGCTAGTGGTTTTTCTCGTGTTAGAATGGAATCGATCGCTTCCTCGGCACTATCTACACGTAGTATGGGTAGTATGGGACCAAAGATCTCCTCCTGCATGCAAGCAGCAGCATGATAAGCATCAGAGTCCGCTCCAAAGTCTAAGAGTGTAGGTGCGACATAGAAATCTGAAGCGTCTGTTTCGCCACCATGTACTATGTACTTGCTATCGTTCTTAATCATATTAGCTAAGCGCTCGTGATGTGCCGGTACCTTCGCCATACGTCCAAAAGCCGTACTTTGCTGTGGATCGACACCGTACTGAGCAACTATTGTTTCCTTCAGTGTACTGATGAAAGCTTCGGCGATTGAGCTGTCTACGAACATGTGATCGGGACGTACACACGTCTGTCCTGCATTTAGGCCCAATGATCCCCACACAATACGCTTGGCAGCTACAGCTAGATTGGCATCCTTGCCAACGTACACCGGTGACTTGCCACCAAGTTCCAGTATACATTTGGTCAAGTTTGGTGCGCCTGCCTTGGCTACCATGCGACCGAGTCCGGGTGAACCGGTTGCGAAAATGACATCCCAGCGCATTGATAAAAGATCCTGCAGTTCGTCGAAGCCACCGGAAACAATGCTGATCACTTCTTTGTCCATGTACTTCGGAATTAGCTCACACAAAAGCTGCATCGTCTTAGGCGAGTGTGTCTCGGCTCCTGTTTTGACAACAACAGCATTACCGGCTGCAATGCTTGCAGCCATGGGATCGGCAATAAGCGTGATCGGATAGTTCCAGCAACCGATAATCAGGGCCGTGCCCAGGGGTTCTGGCTTGATCATGGATGTAGCTGGATAGTTGAAAACATCTGTGTTTACGTGAGTTGCTCTTGACCAGCTATCTACATTGGCGATCATGCTATCGATACCATTGATTGAGGCTTGTGTCTCCGCTAACCAGACCTCCTCGGGACTCTTCCCTAAATCCGCAAAAACAGCCTTCTGAATAGCTTTCTCATTTTCACTTATCATGCTTCTGAGGGCCTGTAATTGATTCTTTCTCCAGCTTATTGGAAGTGTGATGCCTGCTCTGAAAGCTGTGCTAGCTCGCCTATGAGCATCAGCAGCACAGATTGACGCCTTTGTAGCCTGGATTGTCATTTTGTATATAGGAATGTATTGATGAACGGTATTGTTGACAATGATGATATGATACTAATCTCTGCTTCGTAGTATGCCTTAAATACATTTGCATTCATGTACTATTTAGAAGCTATTTTTAGTACGTAAAGTTTTGAATGCAAACCCCTACAAATGTGTCTATAAAATCGTACCCCTACCTAGTCCCAAGACAACCCGTGATTCCGACCCTGCGGAATTCTGAATTCAAATTGTCTGTGTGTGACTGTGTGGCGCCTAGCCAATTTCTGTACAGTAGTTGTACACTAGCGTTCTATCAAGACCCTATAAGGCTCAAGAGTCAAAGAGTCAACTTAGCAACTCAGTCAACTCAGCAACTCTGTCATCGCCCATCCGAATTTCTGGATTGAGGTTGTAAATATTTTTCACCATAAATACATACTCTCTTCAGGCATAGTTCATCATCTTTCGGGTCCCAACATATGTGCTCTTACTCATATCTTTCCCCTATAGTCCCTGGGTAGGGCCAGCTGTGAGCTGTGAGCTGTGAGTTGTGGCCCTGGGTCTGGCTCAGCAGTTTTAAGTTTTTAAGTTTTAGGCTATTTTATTTGTTTTTGAAATAATATATATATATTTCAAAAATAAATACTGGGACAAAAAAATAGTGATATTTATATTGTATATACAGTGTCACGGTGTCAACGGCTCACATTGACCTCAGACGTCAGAGGCTCGGTGTTTTTTTTTCAAATATAACATGTCAAGTACCATTCTACGAATACTAGAACAAAAAACAAAAGTGTGCTTTAACTACTCATAGAGCAAACCATCTCACAAAGACACTTAAGAAGAGTGGCTGTGGCATAGTTAAGAAAGTCTACGTACTTCCATTGGCTTAAAATGGATGCAGGAGTGCATCAGTTGTAACTTTGAGAATCCGAAATTCCGGAATGTCGTGTAGTTTCACCCGATTTCATGCAATAGACTTGTACAAAAACTTGTTTCTTCAAGACTTGATTTCTATCGGTCATCTGCCTTACTTTTTTAGAATTGGGGTTGAAACCATCGTGTTTTCCTGCGCCGATTGCTACCTATTTAAGCCGCCAAGAAACGACTATATTTATCAATATACACACTATACAGGTTATCAGGGTTTATATATCCAGATGTCTGTCTCAAAATCTCTACGATCTCTTCCTGAGTCTACTAAGCAGGTCTACGACTATGTAGTTGTTGGTGGCGGTAGTGCCGGCTGTGTGATGGCCAATCGTCTCTCATCGAACCCCAATGTACGAGTGGCCCTACTAGAGATCGGCTCAGATGACAACACACCGCTCATCCGCAATCCCAGTGGTTTCTTCTGGACTGTTCCTTACAGTAGAAAGTATAACCACCGATACTTTACTACACCTCAGAAGCATTGTAAAGGAAGAAACATGTTTCAGCCCCGGGGCCGTGGTATTGGCGGCTCCTCTGCTATTAATGCCATGGTATACATTCGCGGACTAAAGTATGATTTTACTAACTTGTGGGCTGGTGAAGGTAAATGTCAAGGCTGGGAGTGGGAGAATGTGTTACCAATCTTTAAGCAGTTGGAATGTAACGATTCTCTCAAGAATGATCCATACCACGGCACTGACGGACCCGTCAAGGTTCGAACGCAAGGACATATTGGACCATACAGCGAGCGCATCGTCAAAGCAGGGAATGAGTTAGGATGGAAAACAACCAAAGACTTTAATGGTGAGGATCAATCTGGAGTAGGGTATTATCAATATACGCAGTCCAAAGGTGGGCGCTGTAGCACTGGTGTTGCCTTTTTAACACCAGAGGTACGGTCTCGTCCAAATCTAGATGTTATCGTTGACGCTCACACCACAAAGGTACTCACAGAAGGCAAACGTGCGACTGGGGTGCATGCAGTGGTATCAGGTAGCTCTGATGCTACCAAGCCCGTAACATTCGAAGCAAAGAATGACGTTATCCTCTGCGGTGGTGCATTCAACAGCCCACAGTTACTTATGCTGTCAGGAATTGGCCCTAAGGACCAGCTAAACAAGCACGGAATTGAAGTAGTACATGAATTGCCGGGAGTGGGGCAAAATCTTCAGGATCATGCCGACATCTGTGTGAATGCGAAAACTTCGAGAATAAGTATGCCGCTACAAATCGGACTCACTAACGTACCAAGTCAAATTAAGCACTTCTTTCTAGCAATTTTCAAAAAAGAGGGGGTATTCATGGGAGACAACCAAATGGTCGGCTCATTCTTTAAAAGCAAGCCTGACATTCCCGCAAACGATATTCAAATGCATGTCGCACCCTTCTACTACAAGGACCATGGTGCTACTTTAAGATACGGTGGCGGTATCTCAATCAAATCGTGTTATATGCGGCCCGAGTCTCGCGGCACGGTCGCTCTAAATTCGGCGAACCCAATGGAGGGACCACTCATTGACCCCAACTATTACGATGTGCCCGCCGACTTTGACCCCATGGTGGCTGCAGTACGAAAAAGCATCGAGCTAATTCAAACAAACACCCTACAAGAAGATAACCTGGTGGTCAGTGGATTCGGTGATAAGGATGTTAACAACCTCACCGATAGCGACATTAAGGAATATCTGCGTGAAAATACCGAATCCATCTACCACCCAGTGTCTACCTGCAGAATGGGTCCTTCATCAGACCCCATGGCAGTAGTGGATCACTCTAATGGTCTTAGAGTACACGGCATGGAAGGTCTAAGGGTGATCGATGCTTCGGTGATGCCTACAGTAGTATCTGGAAACACCAATGCACCCACCATGGTGATAGCTCAGAAAGCATACAATCAGATGATTGGTCAAGATAGAGTTGTCGATATTAGATGCACCACTGGCAGCTGCTAGAATGTAAATTTGTGTTGGGAAAATGTATATAATATACCGCATAAAAAATAAACGAGTGATGCTGGAAGCTCATAAATGTGTGCAAGATATGGCAACAAAGACATGTAGTGCGGGTTAAGTAAAAATAGGTATTAATTGCACCTCTTTCGAAATTCGTTCGGTTACGTAGATCGAAAGCAACACGTTAGCGGCATTGTTCGATTAACGCTAAACCCTATTTATATTCTGCTGGTAGCCATTCTTCGAATCTTATAAGAAAATAACCATATCAACCACGCGCAATATTAGGTTTATCGCTGCTTTCATCTGTTGCCCACGTGAAGTCAGGCATACGACTGCTTTTATGTTTTGCCAAAGTTAAGTCTACGGCTTATAAGAATAATACGGTTTTTGATATTAACAAATTTGTGTATGTTTGAGCTGGAACAATACATTATCATGGATCAGAAAGCTATCCACGTATAAACTCAAGACCGTGATTTCGAAGAAGATAAAAGTGTGTTGTGTCCTGCGGCCAAAACGAGTCCGAAAAGCTTGTTCCCAACGAGGATGTCGTCTTAAATTATGAAATAAATTAAGTTCCTTGCATACGCATCACCAAAAATAAAACATGGATCTTGTTCTTGGTCAATGGTTGTACTATACGCCCAAAATAGGTTGTGGTTACTGAACACCCCGCCAAATTCCATGCACATGTATCGCATGAAATATGTGAATAATACAGTATGTTCTGTACTGATTTACCGGAGAGCGGAGGTATGTGAAAACTTTGAATGCAGAATGAAGTTAACTACATACACGTAGTGTGCATTGTGCAAGCTGTTTAAACTGTGAATGACTGTAGGAATGTATGTATATATTTTTGTTCAAAAAAAAAGCAACATTTTTAAAATAGAAATTACAGCTGATGCAATTTTAGCTCTAAATCTATACTCTTAAATTGACTCTTCAGTCTTCGCTCATAGGCGGCAGGCCAGCCGAGAATCCGGGAGGAACTGCACGGGTGAGTGTCCACTGTACACTGTATACAACTATACATTTTAATACATAGCCATGATTCATTGTGGGCACTAGGCAGAAAAAAAAGGTGAATTTGATAGTATTCGGAGCACGGAAAATATATAAAAGCTTGGGAATACAAAGACAAAACAGCTACAAATACACACATACACAGATCAACTACACTGCATCGTAATGTCAAACGAACTTGCATCAGCTTCAATCGGCCTCCTAGTAGTAACTGCTACAATTCTTCTCTACTATATACGTTGCAGAACGGCACGAATCATTAAGGAAGCGAAAAAGGAATATGGACCATCCGCAGAACCCTGCTCTCCAGGAGACTATATGTGGAAGCTAGATACTGAGTACAATAAGTGCATGATCAGTGCCGCAATGATAGTTCGTAATGGAACGCTCGAAGATCTCAATGTTGTGACGGAGAAGCTGATCCAGGACCCATGGTTCAGACGATTTACCGACCGTTTGGCTCTGTTTGAGAACATGCCTTTCTGGGTGAAGGATACCCAGTTTAAGAAAGAAAACCATGTACACCGGGTCCTACTGGATGTATCTCAGAAGCCAACAAATAGTGCTGAATTGAAAGAATGGATTGGACAAACAATTGTAGCTGATCTCCCCATTGACCGCCCGTTGTGGAAGATGGTGATCCTTGAAAATTACGAGAAGTGCGACGATGGTTCTGGCGACACCATGTCATGTGTGCTCCTTATGGCGCATCATGTTCTAGGTGATGGTGTTGCATTCAGCAACATGATGATGTCCATGCTGGACACCGAATCGCACGTGAAGGGTATCAAGGTAGAGAAGAAGAAGAAAAAGCCGGTCTCCCCAACCAAGTCACAGGTGAAGCCGCGTCAGCCATTTGCATGGCTTACCTGGCTATTTGTTGCTTTGTACACAGTCCCAATCATGGGTAAGATTATGCTCTCCAAGGCAGACGTGAATCCCTTTAAAACACAAAACGTGAGTGGCAGAAAGGTCGTGGGTATGCTAGACACTCCCATTGAAATGACTAGAATGAACTCTGTTCGCAATAAGCTCGGTATGTCTGTAAACGATGTCTTCATGGGAGTAATCAGTTGCGCTCTCCAGCGATTGTTTGCTCGAATCGAACCAGACAATGATGTGGAAAGTATCAAAGCTGCCATGATGGTCAATATGCGAAGCAACCCCTATGCCGTCAAAATGGAGAATCAGTTCGCTACGCCGGTATTTGACATGGATGTATCCAACTCTGATCCATTGGTAGCCTGCAATAAGATGAGGCCAGTGATGAAGGGAATGAAAACAACACCCATCTCGAAAGTTTTCTTCGCTAACATCGCACTCGTAGCGAACTTGTTCCCATATATTTTTAATCAGACTCTCTTGGACTACTTAGCCAGCAAAACGTCATGTATTTTAAGTAATGTGCCAGGCCCTTCGGAGCGTATGTATTTCAATGGAAAATTACTTGAAAGAATATCAGCATGGTCTCCTCAGCGAAAAAGTGTTTCGTTCGGTATGACGATGTTTACTCTCGGTGGGAAGGTGAATATCGGAGCGATAATGGACACAGGAGCCGCAGACAAGGCACAAGCGTTTGTGGACGAGTTCGTTGCAGTATTTGAGGAACTTGAGATGATGGTATCGGAACAAGTCAGTGCAAAATCAAAGGTTGCAGATGCTTGTTAACTTTATGTTAGTTGAACAACACACTAAAATATAATAAATATCAGGATGCCAACAATTTAGATAGTTTATAGATGTATACAGCAACACGTTGCAGTATAATGAGTATATATTTCCCGTGAAACATGGGAAGCGTGGAACGACAAAAACAGTCTCCATTGGCCAATGCAATTTCTCCGAGTGCCTCATACGCGTTACGTGTGTCGATGCGTCAAACATCATGGCTAGTCAAATCTCAACCTATGAGCTTTTTTTGTGATGAGCTGTGACATATTTGAAACTCCACTACGACGAACGTATTGAGTGTATATGGCCATGACAACCCAGGCTTTGAAGTGTATACTAAAATGTACGTATTGTACATATAAAGCCACTTGAATATAACTCAAGCTTAAGGCTGCTTTTCGTTTTCTGTGCTCGAGGACTCCTACGCAAGGTTATACAACGCGTACAGCGAGCAATATCGAAGCAATCCCTAAAATTACATTCCAAGCAACCAAGCACACCCACGCCCGGTTTATATTCGGTCATTGGGTCATCTTTAATTTTTATGATCTGTATCGGTACACCAGGCATCGATTCGCCCATACCGGTGAGTGAGTTATCGTCCAACCGTTATTGTGCTGTCTATCTATTTATTATCACACCATAGTGAGATGACGGGTGTTCCTCCTAGCCTTGGCAAAGTCCGTGACACTGTCTAGGCGGC